GGAGTAAGGAAAGAACAGATTGGTTTACTTTGAAGTTATATTTTACAAATGATAAAGAAATGATTGCATCTGTAGAGTGTTTACCATCTCTTGATTTCTTAATGTGAAAAAAACCGGGTAGGGTAGTTAGAGAAAATCATGTAGAAAATTATTTTGAGTATTAATATTCTACTCTCCAAATATTCTGTGTGATTCTTGTATTTTTGAGAATTCAATAAAACTTTATTTAAATAACGGGAAAGTTATATTTTGGTTATGAAGTATTTCTTGAGAACACAGCCTATCTTATCTGCAGTTTACTGCCTAAAATTAAGACATGTTTGGGGCCATGTGTATTCCTACCTACCCAACTTACAGAACACCATCTGAGAGCAACTCCAGAGATCTGAAAACATGTGATACAAATCTCTAAAAGAAGGTTTAATAGGAATTTAATTCAACCGTCCAATAGCAGTCATAATCCACAATGGCTAATGTGACAGCAGTGTTCCATGTTAACAAATGGCCTGTGTAAAGGAAGAATTTGAAAAGAAAAAATATGCTTTATCTCTGACCTGCTCATTGATTCAATAAGCAGTCTTTTCATGCTGAATTAGTTTTCTGCCTCAGTTCCCCTATTTCCTTAGCATTTAATTATTTTCCTATAGTCTTCACTAAATTAGGGTTTGAAAAAGACACTGTTTTAAAAACACAGTGCATAAATGCAATTTTGATTTAATCAAATTCAGTTGCCATAAAATATTTATAAGACAATTTCATCATTTATTAATTGCTTTAAGAAAATCTTTGCCCCTCATCTAGAAACTTTGGAATAATAAAAATACATTATAACTTTAAAAAAAATTTAGGAATGACAAATAGAATTACCAAAACCAAAGCTAAAATCAAACATCTGTTAGGACTATAAGTTCAGTCCCTTCTAACTGGTAGGTATTTCTGGAACTAATTACCTGGTACTCTGTTTATTGCTGCCCTGCATGTAAGATTTCTGTGAAAATGAGTTGGTTAGAGCAACTTATTGTAGAAGGTCAAAACACTTGGTCACTTCTAGGTCTTATGTAATTGCTGTTTTTACATAATTAATTGAATAATTTTTTAAAACCTTGTTTTGCAGGCATAATGAAGCTAGGGATTTGTGGGTGGATCAAAGCAAATTCATCATTGTTTTTGGAAAAGGAAATCAAAATATAAGTCCTGCCAATGGTAGGTCAATAACATCACCTTTACATATGAGGCTGATGCAGCACCAATAGCCCTCCCACATGGTTCTTGGGTATGATTCATCACCCAAGCTGGTTACAAGGTAACCAGCTCTGTCACCTTGGACAAATCACTCCACTCCCCTACATGAGGGTGAAGAGGAACTTGATGTTATCATGTGAAAGTGCTTTCAAAAATTCTATAAAATATTCCCCCATCACCTTGGGAAGAAGATATCATTTTATTATGATCTACATATACAGAAAACTACTAGGAAGCTTGTACCAGGAAAATATATGAAAATCATGGGAAAAATAGCTAGGAAGTTATTTAACTTAATAAATAACTGGAGAAATTTTGTAAAATTTTCTTCTAGAGTTTATTAGTGTTGACAGAGCCATAAAAATCTTCAATCTAAAATTAAGAATAACACGTACACATTGCATACTGTATGCATGACACTCTTCTAGGCAGCAAAAGCTAGGTCTCAACTCTTGTGAAGGTTAATTAGTTTTTGGTTTTGTTTAGTACCTAGCGCTGTGAAGAAGACCTCCTAGAACTCTGACTTCAGGGCTAACAAGACCAACATAAAAAAATTTAGCTCCTATTTATTCCTGTTGATGTTTCATAATCCATGGCAGAATTTTAGTGTTCTATTTTAAGACTTTAATCTCTGGAAAAATTCAAATCCTCTCACGATTTAGTATGCATGAATGTTTGATGCTTTCTGAGAGTTTTCCCCAGTAGGTAGAAAGCAAGCAGTATTTCCATGAGTGTCTAATATAGAAGGGGCCAGTGATCAGAATGGGATTCACTAAGAACAGCAAATCAGAGAGAAAGAATACAGAGTACTGATTACTTTAAATGAAAAAGGTATCTGGTATGAGAGGGAAGGTGATATATATATAGGAATAAAAAACTGAGTCTCAAAAAAAACCAATTTCCTACTTTATAATGTTTCCCAGGACCCCTGCCTTCATGCTAGAAGCAGAATAACCTCCTAAGTATGACTCTTTAATTTACATATATTTCTCAGTTTTGTCCCATTCCGAGTTTTTTCTGATAACAAAGGAAGAGAAAAGTTATAGGGATAGGGGTGACAGTAGGTAAATTAAAACTGTTAATCAGCCAAAAAGAAGAGACCATTATCCTATAATGAGCAAAACATTAAATATAGTATTAATTCACACAACATGTATTTATTAAGTGCTTATATACAAGTGGGAAAGACAGGTAATAAGTAAATGGAAATTTATATAGATCACATATAAAGGAGATAGAGATGAGTGCTAGAGAGAAAAGTAAGGAAGGAGAAAGCTGAAGCATATAGTTGATAGTGGAGTTATTTTAAATGAAGTGACCAGAGAGGGTTCCATAATCAATTTACATTGAAGCAGTGACCTAAATGAAGTGGCAGAGGTTGATGTGAAGATGTGTAAATGTGTGAGTGAAGAGCTTGCCAGGCAGTGAGAATTGTAAGTGCAAGGCTGTGAGGCAAGTGCATGCTTGCTGTGTTCAAGGAATGAAAATAAGGTCACTGCAAATGGAGTGATGTATTGGAGGGCAAGAGCTGGAGGAAATGAGAGTCATGAGGCAATGGGGTCTGATCACTCATGTCTTAAGGGCACTGTAATGACTTTGAACTTTACTTTGAAAGTATTGAGAAGCTATCGGAGGGTACAGAGTATCAGTCTGGCTGTTTTGCTGGGACTAGACTTGAAACTAGCCCAAATTTCCTATGGAACTGATGTTCATGGTTTATTTTGAATTAACATGGAAATTGACCCTCCCAGTTTTGAAGCTTGAGAAAGTTAACATTTGTCTTATCTGAGCTCCTTTCTCAGGAACTAACCATTAGGCCTCCCAGACAATATCAAGAAACTGAAATTTACCAGATCAGTGCATCTGGAAAATGAGACTCCAGAACCCCATTCATCATAATTTCATCTGTACTTTTTCCTAAATCGTGTTTCCCCACACATGGTTACATTTTTTTTCTGTACTATGTAAACTAATTTTAGTCAGTTGAGGAGATGGATTTGAGACTGATTTCTCATTTTCTTGGCTGCAGCACCTGAATAAAGCCTTCTTCACTGGGAAACTTGTTGTCTCAGTGATTGGCTTTCTGTGTGGTGAGCAACAGGATGTAGATTAAACCCCTAGTGTTTTGATAACTGTGTTAGTCCATTTTCACACTGCTATAAAGAACTACCTGAGACTGGGTAATTTATGAAGAAAAACAGGTTTAAATAACCCATAGTTATGCAAGGCTGGTTCCCTAGGAAATGTACAATCATGGCAGAAGGCAAAGGGGAAGCAAGATTCTTCTTCACATGGCAGCAGGAGAGAGAGAGAGAGAGAGAGAGAGAGAGAGAGAGAGAGAGAGACTTTTAAACCATCAGATATCATGAGAACTCACTATCACAAGAACAGCATGGGGAAAATTGCTTCATGATCCAACCACTTCCCACCTGGTTCCTCCCTTGACACATGGGGAGTAAAATTGCAGATGAGATTTAGATAGTGACACAGGGCCAAACCACGTCAGTAACAGACTGTAGAAAGACAGATAGATGAAGAGAGACAAGCTAGGAAGCAATGATGGTTTGGATCAAGGTGGAGCAATTTTAAGTGGTAAGAACTCATAAACAAAATGTAAATAGATATATTCTGTTATGAGTTTTTCCATTAAAACAAATATTAGTTAACAGGTACATGGGTCAAGAAGAGTGTTCAGTGCTGGGGAAATAACAAACAGGACAAAGTCCATGCCTGCCATCAGTAAATGCATAGCCTAATAGGGGCAATTGTATAATTTCTTGTATGCTAATTGAAGTGAGTACAAAGGAAAGAGTAATTAGTTTTGCTTAGAAGCATCCACAGAAACTACCCAGAAGGAATGAGAAGCATCCACAAAAACTACCCAAAAGAAAAGATGCTTGAGTTGGATCATGAAAGAGGAGCACAAGTGTGGCAGAAAGTAAAGGCAGGCAAAATGAGGTCTCCCAACAGCTCAGACAAAGGAACATGGCCACGGACAAGGGGCAGTGAATAGTGTCGTATGTCTGATGCATCTATTCAAGCCAGGAGTGGTAGTGGACAAAGCTGGGAATATATGGAGTGAGGGCAGGGAAGATGATGAGATAATTTGTGTACATGACGAGGGTTTTGCACACTTTTGGCAAAATTATGGGAAAGTCCATAAAGTCCATTGATGGACTTTATAGAAGGAAGTAGAATCAGCTTTATATCCTAGAAATATAAAAATTATTTGTCATTGGAAGCATCTGTACTTAACTCTAGTTACATAGTTGCATATTTTTGGTAACAAAGTACTGTATAGTAAAAAATAAAATATTATATTGCTTACTTTCAAACATGGCAAACAATCATGTATTGATCAGTTACTGTGTCAGGTACTGGGTAGAAGGCATTGCTCACATTAATTCATCAGATCTTCACTAAGGCCCAGTGAGGTTATTCATATACTTATGACCCCTTTTTAAAGATTGAGAAACCAATGCTTAGAGTCTCAGCAATTCACCAAATTCACACATAGATAGTGATAGGTGGAGCAGGCTGGACTGGGCTTCCAACCCAGCATCACAGGTTATGCGCTCATCACTCCAGATAGTGCTTTGATGTTCTTGAAAGGGCACCAAAGGTGACTAGGAGCAGACCTCCTCTAAAGACTGATAACATTAAGTCATATCTCTTCACAACAGGCTAACCTAAGTTATAATTTCTTAATTTCATTATGTATGTTGCAAATAATGAAAGGAAATTAATCATGTTCCAGATGTTGGCAATTAATTGTTTAGAATGAATTTACATATAGATTTGTTGAGTGACACCATTTTCATTAGAGCTTCCTGGTATAAATTTTGATTGCAAAGACAGATATTCAAATCTGCTTTGGCTATGTCCACCCAAGCCAGGAAAGTTTTCTTGAATGACATTTTCTCACTTCTTTGCAAACTGTTTTCTTGATGATTTGTAGAATTTGGCTGCAGTTGGAGATGTCCAGTCTCTGCTGCTCAATACAATGAAAATGTACTGCCTAAAGAAATTCAAGGAATAAGGAACCAGGGCTGGAAGGAAGGAGAGAAAGTGATTATCAGAAGTTTGAATCCTGTTGGCAATAATTTATTAGAGGTTGAGCAGTAATTACTGATACACTCACTGGATTTGCTACTAGCAATTCTTTTAAATGTATTCTATATTTGGAAAAAATAATCCAAACTCAAATTTCTCAGAGAATCACCAAGTTATCTGGAGAATGTCTAGAAATGTGAAATCAATGATTAAGTCCAAATGTCCAGGGTCAATTTCTAAAAAGCAGATTAGTTGGATGCAAGAAATAATTTTATGTGAAAACATAAAATTCCTAATCCACTGGCAAAAGTATCTATAAACAAATCACTCAAGCAAGTTCTTTTCGTACATTTAAAAATAAATGTAAAACAATTAATTATCTGGATTGCTTTGAAAAGTTTGATGAAGAGAACTGTTGAAAACACTAAAGGAGATTGATCATGACTTGAGAAAACAGAGTTCAAGGTTTAATTCAGTTTAAATTTTTGAATATTCAGTAAGATAGAGAAAAGGAACAAAAGTTAATTTCAAAACATTATTTAGGCTTTAATATCAAGTTATCAATAATATACAGTACCATGTCTAAGATAAGACATAGCTTTGATAATACAGTAAGTCTTGACAATGCACCAATATCTTAAAGTTTACTATAATATTTTGCTGTCTAATCTTTAACACAGTATATTCTAAAATTAAATTACTTTTAAAATCCTCATTCTACTATTTTACATTATTCTTGTACTAGTTTGCTCAGTCCTTTCAGGGTTTCAGCTGGTTCAGCAAATGTGTCCATGGATCAAAGTCTTTACTCCTCTAAAAGGGAAAGTTTTTACCTGGCTCAATGCCTTGTGTTGTTCAGACATCAGCAGTAGTTTGCTATGTCACTCCTCATTGCTCTGAGGTTAAAACTGCTTTTGTGGAGGTGGCTGGCAAGGGTCTCTTGTAATTGTTCTCATCTTCGTTGTTATGGAGATGGAACTCATACAATTTCCTCCCTGCTTAGTTTATCATGCTTCATATCCAACAGCACAGTAAACAACCGATTAGTTGACCTACTTAGGTCTGCCAGCATGAATTCACAGACTTCTATTTTTTAAGGTGTGTGATTACTTGAATCTTCCCCTCTGGTTCAGCTTTTTATTTCTATTATCTTTGCATTTTCAGTGTGTTGTTTATAAGTGAATTCATTTGATCTAAATACTTTTTTCTTGCATTCTGTTAAGAAAGAAGTAAGAGATTGGGACCTAGGCTGTAAATGTGAATTTTAGATCTATCATTACTGACATAATCCTAAAATCCATACTTCTTCAAGGACACAAAATAATGCAGCATGTCGAAGCAGTAACCTGATGTCATCAGGAACACTGAACACAGCTTCTCACAATGATGAGCAGCTGAAGAAACGGGCAGGAGGAAATAAATGTGGTTTGATTTGTTTTGCCTGGCTTACTATTACAATAAATGAGAGGGAGGAAAGCAAAAGAGGTTAAGGTTTAATGAGAAGGGGGAGAGGGGAAAGTATCCTTTGGACAACACAACTTACTGTAAAGAAGGTCTGTAGAAGTTTGGAGACATGAGTTTGAATTTTGACTCCGTGGAAGATGCTGTTGGTGCCCTGCCCAGAGTCCCATTACTGGATTGGTACACCAGCCCTCAATTTCAGAGTTGGCTGCAATGGCTCACAGCTGCCCTGAAAGTTGCTCACCCAGGAAGTTATGCTTGTCCTCCACCTCCAGGTGGCCTACATTCAATGACCTATGCATGCAAAAGTCTAGCCCCATTGCCTTAAGTTGGGGTCAATTCTGCAGTACCCATTATGCTTCATTGTCCTCTGTAGTGAAATGATGGAGATTAGTGACACTCATTGTTTTTTTCCTGCTCTAAAATTCTGTTTTGGAATAGTCAAGACTCTTGGATCTTTTTTTATCAGCAGGTTCTCTCTGATTCAGATGTTTTGTGGGTTTTTTAATGCTGAACAGTTTTGGTATTTGAAACAGGTTGAAAATGACTAGGTCATCATTCAATTCCAGTTTTCTTCTTTAGTTGTTTTTTCCTCTGCCTTTGAGTGTACCTACGCAGGAATGGAAAGAACTATTACTTAAAGCAATGTGGCTATAAATGTATTAATGATTCCTAACTCCATGAATGTGTGCCAGAATATTGACCCTGTTATTGGGAAGCAGGTAAGCCTTCTCATCTCAACTGTTCTTCAGCTCTGGAAAAAAATAAATTCACCTTATTTTCTTATCTTGCACAATTATTAAACAGTGCACAAAAAGAATCTCTTTTGATTGGAAACAGTTCAGCACATCATCTGAATTAGCATCTATGCACAGGATTGTAAAATATTAGAAAAATATTGGAAGAATATTCTTAAAAGCAGGACAGATAACCTTCTGGATGCTTTCTTGCTAAAGCAAGTTCTGTGCTGTCTGGTTAAAGTCACAGCCTGAGGTATAATGGCACAATTCACCTCACATCCTTATCAACCAAAACCGTCTCTAGTGACTCTTGTGAAGATGGCTAAATTGACATAATCTCTGATTTTCAGCAACTTCCAAGTAACAATTTTGAAGTGAAATTCAACTCCAAGTTCCAAGCACAATCTCAGACAACACAGCAACCTTGTAGGTCAGTGAGAAATGTACAAAGATCTCTATCAGGCACAGGATAGTCAGGTATGTGGCTTCTTGATGAACAATAATGAGGCACAGCTGTATGTATCTTGGCTCTCAAAAAAGTACTTGAGATTGGGAATGAAGATCAGCAAGTAATGTCTGAGACTACTCACTTGAACAGAATAGCAATTTCTTCAAACCCTCAAGGCAATATAACAGACATAGATAAATGTACAATTAAAAAAAATAAATGGTCTGTACAAACATGCAAACTCCCTCTTTGGAATAATAGATTAGAAATATCTAAATTGCTTTGAAGCATCATAAGCATTTGAATTTTTAATGAATTGGAAAATATCATAGTGACTTTTTATAAATTGTTACATACTTACATATTTATTTGATTCTTGTTAACCGTTACTGCTATAATTGCTTCTGGAATAAAAGCCCAATAAACTATAAATGAAATAGTCTTATATAGGTTGCTAGTGTTTCTCTATTTGCATCTCTCCCTAAACTCCATTTCACTTCTACTATTCTCTGTGCCTGAGAATGTTGACCCCTGCAGAGTAAATTACAGGGCTCTTTGTCTTCTGGCTTCCAGGTGAATTGGGCCAATAAGAGGAACTCACAGAAAACAGAGGGTTGGGCAGAGAGAGGATGGGCATTGCATCCCCTGTTCCTTTCCTTCTGCATCTCCAGTCTGGTAGGGGCTGCCTACTAATCCACGACTACAGGTCTTGTTGAGCATCCGACTTCTGTTGCATGGCTCCAGCTCCTGAGACTCTTGTATAATATGATCATTTCCTTTCCTTGCTGTTCAGGTGGTAGTTTCCTGCTGCACTAGCCTAGCTGCTGGGTGCCCACTCCTCTGCAGATACCTCCTTACTCAAATCCTGCTAACAATCCTAGTGGAGTGTATCTTGTCTCTTGCCAGGTCACTGACTAATATATGAATTCCTCTATTCAGCCTCTGTTAAGTTAAAATTAGGAAATCTTAGTCTTTCTCAAATGCCTACTTATAGCAGCAAGGGTCATGGTACAGACTATAGAAGAAGGAAAGAAGGCTGATTTCATCATGTGGAAGTATTTCACGAAGAGATTCCTACTGCACCATTCACCACACCCATTCCCTTGGCTTGCACCCTTGTTCTCCCCTCTCATTATTTAGCCAGTACACTGAGTACTCCTCTGACTCAGGTCTTCATTCTTGCTGTTTCCTCTAAACATTTCCCTGATGTCTGGAGGAATCGTGTTTGTCTCCTCACCTCTGCAGCATTATGCCCAAGGTCACATTCTCATAGAGGTCCTGATATGGTTTGAATTTGTGTCCCTGCCCAAATCTCTGGGGTCAAATTTTTACCCCCAGTGTTGGAGGAGGTCCCTGGTGGGAGGTGATTAGATTATGGAAGTGGATTTACCCCCTTGCTGTTCTCCTGATAGTGAGTTCTCGTGAGATCTGGTTGTTTAAAAGTGTGTAGCAGGCCAGTCATGGTGGCTCACGCCTGTAATCCCAGTACTGTGGGTGACTGAGGTGGGAGGATCACTTGAGCCTGGGAGGCGGAGGTTACAGTGAGCTGAGGAAGCACCACTACCAGTCAGCCTGGGTAACAGAGCAAGACCCTGTCTCAAAAAATAAATTAATGAAAATAAAAATGTGTCACACCTCCTTCTTGCTCTTCCTCCTGCTCCGCCTTGTAGGAAAGATGTTCCTGTTTCTCCTTTGCCTTCCGCTGTCATTATAAGTTTTCTGAGGCCTCCACAGCCATACTTCCTATAGAGCTTGTGGAACCATGAGCCAATTAAATCTCTTTTCTTTTCAAATTACTTAGTCTCAGGGAGTTCTTTATAGCAATATAAGAATGGACCAATGCAGGCCTTCTTCGTTTGCCTCAGATAAAATTTCAACTCCAGACCCTCTATCCCTGCACCCTGCTTAAGTTTAATCATTGCACTTATTTTCAACCAACGTTATTTATTGACATGTTTCAAGTATGTTTATCTTCACTAGAATTATTTTTCATGGTGTTATTTTCAGCATCAAACAGTTTCTTGCACACATTAGTAGCACAATATACATTTTTTGAATAAGCGAATAATGAGAAAGAAGCACATGATACACTCTCTTTTCTGTGGAGATAATTTATCTACAAGGTCCTTTGAACTCCGTAAAGATTAGAGATGGAAGAAACTGCCCATGTTGCAATTAAAGGTTTACCAATCTGCTGTATATACCAATATACTATATGAAATCTAGTAGGTGAAGTATACTATAGGTTACATTCTTCAAGAAAATTTAAAAATATCTTTTCATTATATTTCTGTTTCTAGGTAAATATGAAGAAAAACAGCAACAAAGTTTCTAGCTCTAGTTCAGGGCTAACTGTCCTGAGGGTAGTAACATGAAGTGCAGAGGGAAGAATAGCCCAGAGTCCTGAATCAGACTTAGCAAGTAGAATTTTCTCTTTCTTAACAATGCAGGAGGCAACACTAGATAATTGGAGGACTTGGGGAAATTAAAGAAACCTGGGAGCAAAAACAAAATCAAAATCTTAGCATGGTAAAGCTGTAACACACTGTGGTTTCATCAGCCAGTTGCATTTGTACTTGATTTTAAACATTCTAGTTCAGGAGTGTCACAATCTTCAGTAGTTTCTATTTAAGACCTACAGATTCTTACACCCCAAATATTTTCCTTAACACTTGCCTACATTCCCTATGACATACACTGTGCTCATTTCATCCAATGTTGAGGAGGTGTATGTAAATGTTGGTCACTATTCTTGGTAAAATGATCCTATCTAGTTAGATCATTTACTTACCTTATTTACCTCAATTTATCATTCAACTGAAATAGAACCTGCTGCATTTAGTAGGTGCTCAAGTAACATTTGCTGAATTTAACTCAATGTCCTGTCTTTAATGTTGTTTCTTTTATAATTCTTTTACTTTTGCTATTTGGTTTAATGCCTCACTTTTTAACATACTTTCCCATACCACCATTGTGAAGTATAATTGACAAATAAAAACTTGGCATGGTGGCACTTCCTTGTAGTCCCAGCTACTCAAGAGGGTGAGGCAGGAAGATCCCTTGAACCCAGTAGCTGGAACCAAGCCTGGGCAACATAACGAGACCTAATCTCAAAAATAATAAATAAATGCTAAAAATACCACCATTCAATATAACTAAGGTATGTAACATAATGTTTTGATATATGTATATATTGTAAAATGATTACCACAATCAAGCTAATTAACATACCCATCACCTCACATAATTAATGCTTTTATTTTGCGCGTGAGGGGAAAACATCTATGATCTATTCTCTTAGCAAATTTCAAGTCTAAAACACAGTATTATGTAACTAACTATATTCACCACGGTATACATTAAATCTCCAGAATTTATTCTTTGTATATTACTGGACATTTGTACCCCTTGACCAAGATTTTCACATATTCCCCTTTCTTCAGTCCCTAGAAGCCACCTCTCTATTCTCTACTTCTATGAATTCAACTTATTTAGATTCCAAATAGAAGTGAGATCATGTAGTATTTATCTTTCTATGCCTGGCTTATTTTACTTAGGGTAACATCCTCTTGGTTTGTCAAGATTGCTGGAAATAACAGGATTTTATTCTTTGTTTATGACTAAGTAGTATTTTATTTTGCATATATACCATATTTTCTTTATGTATTTATTTTGGCTATTGTGAATAATGTTGCAATGAAAGTGGGACTACAGATACCTTTTGAGATACTGATTTCATTTCCTTTGAGTATTGATATAGTTCAGTTTTGTGACCTCACCCAAAACTCATGTTGAATTGTAATCCTCAGTGCTAGAGAAGAGGACTTGTAGAAGGTGACTGAATCATGGAGGCAAACTTTTCCCTTGCTGATCTCATGATAGTAAGTCCTCACAAGATCTGGTTGTTTAAAAGTGTATAGCACCTCCCCTTCTCTCTTTCTCCTGCTCCAGTCATTTAAGTTGTGCCTTATTCTTCTTCATCTTCTGCCATGATTGTATGTTTCTTGAGGCTTCCACAGCCATGCTTCTTGTACAGCCTGTGGAACTATGAGTGGCTTAAATCTCTTTTCTTTTTAAATTGCCCAGTCTCAGGCAATTGCTTGACAGCAATGCTACAATAGACTAAAACTTATATAAACCCAGAAGTGAAATTCCTGGATCATATTCATTGCTCTAGTTTTAAATTTTTGAAGAGCCTCTACAATATTCCATAATGACTATACCAATTTACAGTTCTCCACATCCTCAGCAATATTTGTTACCTTTTGTCTTTTTGAAAATAGCCATTCTATCAGGTATAAAAGGATATATCATTATGGTTTTAATTTGCATTTCCCTGGTGATTAGTGATATTGAGCATTTTTTATATACCTGTTGGGCATCTTCATGTCTTCTTTTGAGAAATGTCTATGCAGGTCCCCT